TGGGGTTTTGCGAGTGTCGAGATACAAGCTTCGATTCATTCTAGGTTTCTGTGACATAGAACCCAGCGTGGGTATCAAGCCCCTCCACTGTCCATTGGCACTTTGTCCAAATGTTCTCAATTCTCCTGACACCCGGTAACTCTCAGAGGATGGAACTTCTGCTGGAAGAGAAACAGTAAATGAAAAGCCTGTATGCTGAACTCCAGCAATACAGAATTAAAGGCCTGCAGGCATCACTTGACTTCAGTGCGACTGTTTGCATGTGTAAGACTCTAACCAAATGGAACAGCTTGCAGGATCAGGACCTTAGTGATGCCTTTAGAAATATCCACACTCCTCATGCCCACCACCTCCCAAGTCACTTTCCAAAACCACAACTCAGCCCAGAAGTAAGAAAATGAGATATTCAGAGGAATCTGGCCCTAATTCCCTTTGCAATTCCCAGCCTAAGGCCTGGTCTACACTGCTGTGAGCCATTGATCTAAGTTACGCAACTTCAGCTACATGAATAAGGTAGTTCAAGTCAACATACTTAGATCTACTTATTGATGCGAGACACTCTCCTGTTGACTCCACCTATGCTTCGCATTCTGGTGAAGTACCGGAGTGGACAGAAGCACTCGGCAGCTGATTTATCACATCTATACTAGATGTAAAATGTCAATCCCTGCCCGTCAATCTGGCAGGTAGTGTAGACAAGCCCTAAGATGATATCTGAAATAGTGACTGGCAGAGCAAGAGAGCAGCTTGAGCTAGTGTGTTTTAATGCAATGTTGTAATTTGTGAGCATGGAAGGAAAACCGGTTGTGTAACTGAACTGACTCATGTTTTACCTGAGTAGTAACTTGGACTGCATGATGCATTTCCTGTTGAGCATGTAAAAGATTTCTCCAAACTGCCAAACTTGTTTGGTAAAAACTACACAAAAAGAGAATCAAAATTATTAACTGTTAAGCTTCTTACTCAAAGAAAAATGACAGAGCATGACCAATAAAGCCCTAATGTCTCTACTGTCAACACTTGTCTGGCAACATGGCAAGTGTTTAAGATGATACTATCAGCACCAGGAAGTTTACAAAATTCTGCAGTGATTTTTTTTTGAGATGGCAGTAAAATATTAAGTTTTTCACCACCACAATATGGGGAAGACAACCTGATTTCAGACCTACACTGGTAAGTCTCATTATTCTGCAAAAGCCTGGCTGACTCAAAAATAAGTGTATGCAATTGTGCATAGCTTACATATGATGTGTGCGTAGGGTGTAGCTTCCACAAAACACATATTTGTGTGTATCCGAACACATGAGTAGCTTCTACAGATTGTGCACGTACCTTTTACAGGATGTATGAATGTTAAGTGTGTTTGTGTGTCTATATGAAGTGAAGCTTTCTACATTGATTGGTAAACACAGGCTGTACACTTTTCGGTACCAAAGATTTTTTTCTATTTTAGAAACATGTGTCTGTCTGTCCATCTACGAGTCCTTTTGTTCAAGAACTCCTCCTACATGGTAAGAGCTAGAACCACCAAATTCAGTATACAGCTTCCTCTTATCCTAACTTAAAGCAAGGTTGGGGTTTGGTTGTGCCAAGAAAACAGGATGTGCCTGTAATTCAATTGTTTTTCCATAACATGGAAAGAGAGAGGGCTGACTGGAGGGAGAGCTATACTGCAGTGACCAGTGGGGACAGCCTCACCAGTAAGACAGTGGCCATCTGGGTCTGGGGCTCACCATCTTGCTGTCCATTGGACTGGGTAAGTGCCCCCGCCCTAAACCCCTTGGCCGTAGGGCCACAATGCTAAATGGGAGAGGGGTGCCGGGGATCGGAGGCAATCCTGGGTAAATCCTCTATTCATTTATATTGTAATAGCATCTCAGGACCCCGTCACAAACCAGGTCCACTGTGCTCAGTGTTGTACAAACACAACAAAAATAGCTTACAATCTGAGTGTAAAACAAGAGACCACAAGTGGATACATCTGTAGGCAGGGAGAGCACAAGAACATAAGGAGACAAAACCAGTCAACATGAACAGCAGCTGTCACAGGCTCAGCACACCAGTTGCCTAACTACTGTCAAATGGTATCACAGCAGAAAGAGTTTTAAAGAGGGAATTTGTTCTGAAACTGGCTCTTGAGCAGATTAAAAAGAAGTTTGACCAATAGAAACGTTAAATCAAAATGATGCATTTAAACAACTCGAATTGGCAAATGTGAAATTGAACATGAGTAAAGAATGATCCCAAACCTTGTCATCAGACAGTGAAAGCGGATCCCTTGGAGTAGTTGTCTGTTGTAGAGAAAAGGCCTTGAATATGGAGTTGTGATTAGCCAATGTTGCATCACCAGCCTCCATCCTCATAGAATCAGCACTCTCATCTGAGGAAACACAGCTCTGAATCCAGTTCTCACAAGGGGCTGCTAATGAAGGAGGCATTGTCCATGCAATCTCACTTTACAAGAGCTTCCCTCCAGCTAATGCCGGTAGTAAAAGCAGCTGAGCATATTGCAAAGAGCAAGGAGAAACAGTAACCCCAAAACAAAGGCACAGTCCTTTTGCCTATAGTTGGAAAACATTCCCACATCTCATGGAAATACCTGAATGTTTTGTGTCCCATTTTGCTTCTAATCCTCAGAAATCATTCAACCCTCTCATATAAATGACACTAAGGAAGCCAATAAAAGTTTTATCATGATAATACAATAATACCACCTACCCAGCTCTTATGCAATTTTCACTGGTAGATGATAAAGTTGTTAGATAGGCAAGAACCATTTACATGCCAGAATATGAGAAGCAATCTGACCTAGTGCGTAGGGATGTTAAATATCAGTTAATTTAATAGTCGAGAAACCTCATGAATTTTTATCAGTTAGTCGACTATTCTATAGTCCCGAGGGATGGGGCTGGCAGCCAGTGTATCAGCAGCAGCAGTGTGGGGTGCCAAGCAGGCACTGGTCCACGAGAGGAACTGGTTTAAAAAACAGCTCCCCTGGACCGGCTGCCTGTTGCCCAGGGCTGCTGCCTCTGATAAAGAGGCCGGGTTCAGGGGGGGGGGGGGGGGGGGGGGGGGAGGTCTGAGCTCCTGGACCTGGCGCGAGCTGAAACTGAGCCGGGCGGCCTGCCCACCTGGCTCCTAATACACTTACTGCACTTTTTGCTTCTTCAGTAAAAACACAAGAACATTTTAGCTGCAAGTTTCTTTTACGTGATATTACGCAGAGAAAAGGCCCATTCTAGAGTCTGGGTGTGTCAAGGCAGCACTTAGATTCCCCGAGTTTGGTCCTGCACATACACTAAACACACACTCTCTAACATGGTTAAACAGAAATGCAAGCACACTTACCCATTTCCAGACTGCTCACATCACTGATACAGAAGATAAAACTCAATAGGACTGAAAAGGAACAGAAAAAATACATTTACAGACACAGCTCACACAACACATGGGGCCTCAGAGTCAAATGAAGTATGAACTAGGGACGTGAAAATGCATTATGTAGGTAAACATGTAACCACTGAAAATGTCAGCCGTTATACATTTACGTGCGGGGGGAGGGTTACATGTTTACATGCCAGGGCCACCTGCCCCACTCCTCTGCTGCTACCTCTGTATCCGAGCAGCAGCGTGGGGGCAGGCGATTTCCCAGGAACAGTGTCCCACCTCCCCCCCCCCCACCTCTACATCTTGTAAAAGGCAGAAGCAGCAGCACAGTGGTACGGGGAAGCTGTGTATAACTGTGTACACATTTACATGTTCACATCCCTAGTACAAATGCTGAACGCCATGTCCAGGCCAACACTAGCTTTCCCTGAATGAAAAAGAATGCAGGGACAAGCAGGAGAGCTGGAACTTGCTATGCAAAGGTTTAAGAGCTTCCGTTTGTTACGCTGTGAACTCATTTTTCTGCACCGAACATTGACAGCTGTCATCTTTCCTACATGCTCATTCCTGGGGCACTCCTATTTCTCATCTGGTCTACTGGACACCTGGCTGAGTGGTGAGTTACCCACCACTATATACACTTCTCTAAAATGCTTCTGAAATGCAACACGGTGCACTCATATCACCATGGTCATACAGCAGGCAGGAAGCCTGGAGGGGAGAAGACACAGCCAGAGGCTGCTTTTGGCCCCCCACCACTGAGCAGGCAGAGGGAAAACGGCCCCTGCTCCCCGGTGGGCTCCATGCTAGCCTGGCTGGGGGGAAGGAAAGGTGACCTGAGGAGGGTCCGGGTGCTGCGGAGGGGTTTGCGCTCTTCACAGCTGTCTGCCAAGCCCTTAACGTCAAAACCTGCGCACAGGTTTGTACCCGCAGCCAGGCGGCTGCTGCAGAACCTGTCCAGAGTTTCAGGCTTGTAGACACAGGCTCTGGGCAGGGAGGAGGGAGCACGCGGGCAGCGGGGCCGGGGCTGAAGGAGAAGGTCCGAGACTCTGCCAGGAAGATGTGAGCCCCGGTGGAGTGGGGGGGCTGAGGGGGGGCCAGGGGGCACCGCGGG